GGGGAACTTGTTAAAGGAGCAGGTTTAGGATAGAAAAAAGAAGTCATTACTTTAATTGAGAGAATATTGAGTTTGAGTACCATTCGACACACCTCTGTTTTCCTGTAGTAGTTCAGATAGACTGTAGAATATACTTGTATATTAAGAAGTGTTTAAGAGTTAATTTGTAAACATGCAGAGGACCACTTGTCTAGACCTGAGAACTTCCCAAGAGTAGATATTCCAGTGGAATAATAACAAAGGCATTTAATCATCTTTTAAATCATCTTAAAATATGTAAAATATAGATTGATTCCCAACTGTATGTATTAAAGGGAAAGTATACTTAGAAGTATATTAACTGTCAATATATCACAAAGTTGAGTTATAAAACAAGAACAACTAATTTTAAAGAACATTCATAGAGTAAAGTCGAATATATTGGCAATAGCATCCTCATCTGGAGAGAGTTTGAGCCCAGTAAAACCTAGGGCAACTTTGTACATTAAAAAGGGAACAACTTATTTGTCATCATACGGGCAAGATACATCAGGGAAGGCTATTTAAGAAGGCAATCAGTAGGTATGAAATACATTAGTTTTATATTATTTTAGGTTCACATCTATTTACCTTAAGATTCACAGTTGCTGATTGAAAAACTGAAATCTAGGTGCTCAATAATTACATTTAGTAATGGATACAAAGTTTGATATGAATCTTAATATTTGTATTTTGGCACTACGTGTGAAGAACTGTGCTAAGCAAAAAGTAGGTTTTTCCAAAATTTGTAAAGACTTTATAAGTAGTATTTTTTAAAATTTTCTTGTGAGTTAAAGTAATACCATACCAAAGGATTTTATTATTGCTTGCTCTTAAGTTACTATTATGACATTTGCTTTATAACAAGCATATAATTAGGTTGGCAGAATTATCATAAACAAAAATTAAATCTAAGTCATGTCTATACTACCAAAAGTTAGCTTGTTGGAGCTGGTGAGAAAAATTCTATGAAAATACTAAATATTTGTATCATATAAAATTTCATTATTGGTTTGTGATGTGAATGGGTGGGGTATTTTGTTTTGTTTTTCACTTCAGGATTGAATTACAGATTCTCTTCATTTATTAGGCTTATCTTGATTTTTTTTTCTACAGACTATTTTCACTTTTAACTTGATGGAAGAATTATAAGTGTATGAACCCATTGTTTCTTTTGTTTCAGAAACTGTGTGGTTGCATAGAAGACAGAGCATGGGCTTTGGGCTCAAAAATAATTATTTAAAATCTTGGCTTTCTCATTTACTAGTTATATGATGTTAGTCAAGTTACTTAAACTGAGGCTTAGTCTCAGTCATCTCTAAAATGAGAACAACATTATCCACCTCATAGAATTAAAGTGTTACAATTAATGAAATAATGAGTAAAAAGTGTCTAATGCAACACCAGGCAACACAGTAGGGGGTCACACTATGTAGCTGTAATATCACAGATTAACATTGTATCCATCCATTTGTGACTTTGACTATCTTTGGCTTTGCCATTAATGTTTTACAATTTGGGCAAGTAGCACTGTTCATCAATTCCTTGATCTACAGCCTACCTGTGGTGCCTGTTTGCTTAGAAAGTAGTTTTCAAGAAACAGCAAAGTTATTCGCCAACATTTATTAATAACATATTTTAAATGGAAGCTAACATAAGGTTTCACAGAATCTTATAATATTCATAATAGCCACTATATTCTTAAAGAATTGTTCATAAACTACAAGTATTTACAAATATTTGCTCACATACTTACAATTAGTAGTAAGTTTACCTCATCTAAGATAGAGAGGGTAGAGTTTGTGTGTGTCTATTTGAATGCTAACTATTATATTGTTCAATTTGCATTTTTGATATCACTTTCCTATTGTGCTATATTCTTATTACACAAAATTGGTTTAATAATTCAAAAGAATAAAATCTGAATGAAAATAACACGAATTTAAAACTCAGATTATCTTTGTGAATTGGGACTCTAATGTAAAAACATCAGAAAAACTGTAAGTCTGCATATATTTTAAGAAAAAGCAATTCTATAAGAGTGACCATCTTATGTAAGCAGCCTAAAAATAAATGTCAAAACAAGAAATATGAAGATGAATATCTGAAAATTGAATCTTATTGATCTATTTGCCTTCTTCAGGGAATGTCATTTTGAAAACTTGTCAAAAAGTAACATGAGGTCTTTTTGGTTCTTGGAATTTCAAACCAAGTAGTCACTACTCAGATAAGTTTTTTTCTTTGAACAAATGAAAAACAATGCTTTGATTCATCAAATGAACAAATGTTTTCACTTAAAGGCAAAATAAAGATCAGTCCTTCAGAGGTATCACTAAAAGTAATACTCCTCATAAGAAAACAAATATTAACAATCCTTTTGTAATTCATAAGCATGATGATTGGGTGTTCACTCACATATATGAGATGTGCCTCCCTCAATCCTTGTTACAACATTGGCACATTACCTCTCTGATGTGAAAAAAATTTATTATGGCAGGCAAGAAAGCAAAATTAGCTCTTGGCAATATTTTATTATCAAGTGGCATAGCTATTGCATGATATTATTGGCCTAAGTGAGGAAGAACATTTTTTAAGTATATATTCATGCTAGGTTCTATAATAATTCACCTTACAGTTGGATGAAACAACTTACATCAACTTACACATAAAGAATGGATCATTTACATGTCACACTTACATGAAGATGAATTGCTCAACAACTTTTTGTTCTATCACTGAAAACCCATGTTGTCGAAAAGGAGATTTTTTTATTCTAATAATCTCTTATTTTGTGAGTCTTGATATAGATTGGAAAGGATATGTGGGGATCAGATCTAGAAGATAACAGTTACATACACCACAAGGTACATGTGCGATCGAAATTAACACTGCATCTGAATCTCTCCACATGCAAATTTATTCACGGAAAACAAAATGCTTTCCAGTTCTTAGTGTTGATGAAAATTGCTAAACTTCTCAAATCTCATTCACTGATTGTTACATGAAGAATACGCATCTTGCACAGGACTGCTTTTCTAATATGAAGAACAATGGGTGTTAAAATATTGCTCATATGGTTTTTATAAAATATGGAATGAATATTTTTGTGACACTGGTAATGCCAATAAAGGTCATTTCTATGATATTAAGTCATTTGTCGAAATGCCAAGTGTCAGCCTAGGTCTATCATTTTATAGCCAAATGATGAATCTCTATAATGTTGAGGATAAGACACAAGGATTTCTTCAGAAGACTAGATTATGAGTGGTATGATTGAGATTGTGACTAAATCCCACCATTTAATGGTTCTCTTCATTTGTCAAAGGAAGTAACCAATGACTTATTCTTGGGTGTGTTTTTAATTCAGTACGAATGTTAGAACAGAACTAAAGTTATTCAAAGCCAAACGCAACTAAAAGTAGATTAAAAATCTATTTGGTACTGTCTCCTATGTTGAACAGTCAATCTTTCAGCTTCTGAGTGTGGTATGCAGGCCAATTTAAGATTTATTGAAATGTTGAAATTAGTCTCCGTGAGAATTTTCTTTTAATTTCAGAGATCATCTTCAACTCAAAGTTTCAGAACTATGACAGAGCTACATATCATTATAGGTCCTAATGGCCTATAATTGTGAGTTAAGTTTTTCTATTTTATAGGAAATTAAAGGGGAAGAGAAGAGAGCAACTGGAAACGGACCCAGATATATAAGCTATGAGCAAATTACAAATAGTTTGGTGAAATTTTTTTTTCCACTATCAACTCTCCCCCCTTTATATGAAATTGTTATTAGTAGTTTTAATATTGTGTTTAACTTTTATTATTTACAATATTATGATAACAAATTGAATGGCTGGTTGATGCGTGCTTTTGAATGTTTATTAGGTGGTCTACACAAGTTGAAAATTTGAAAAACACTGTACTAGATTTGATAGCCTAAGGATCACAGATGTTTTAGTCATCAGTTAATATGCAACATCTAGCATATTTTTAATGTTTAATAAATATTAGTTGAATAAATTAATGAATTAGTTGCTCTCACCAAAAATTTAAAAGCCAGTTTGCTGGTTCTCAGGAAAAACATTCATGCTTAGTTCCTACCTTAGTGAGTTAAATTAATATTTTCTATTATCTCTGCCATTCTTGTCTTCTCAGAACTCTACAAAGAGAAATATGTGTCCCATAACTATTGTCAAAATATAAGAGCTATTGTTAACTGGATTTCTTCCTTTCAGCTTCACATAGCATGTTAGCCATTATTTGTTGGGGTAAACTGAATTTTCCCACACATTATTTATTTATCTCAATTTACAAGATTTACAGGCTCTAAAATATTTGCCAGAAATTTAAGTTGTTTATTTAATATGTTTAAGGTTATTTATTTATTGATTTTTTTATCTATTTCATAATAATTTCTCTCCAAAGAGCACATGGAATGTACACATATTAATATATTTATAGTAAATAACGCTAAAAACCTTAATCATCAATATTAGTGACATGAGTGAAAACAACAGGTAGTATTTGCTCACAAGTAAGGCATTGTTAAGGAAATATATGAAGTCAAACATTAATATGAAGACTAAACTAATGACATTATTTCCTTCTAAAGTAAGGATTCTCTTCTTTCTTCTCTGGTTCCCTTTCCCTTCCTCCTTCTCCTCTTTCTCCTCCTCCCTATCTCTTCTTCTGCTTCTCTAATCCATAGGACAGTGTTTTGCTCAGTATGTGTTGCTGATGGCCATTTGTAACATCAAACAGTAATCTGATCTCATACTTACATTGTGAATTATGGTAAAGGCGTTAACATAGACCCAGTGATTTTTTTATTTCCTCTTCTTATTCAATCCCTCTTTTGCACTAAACTTAAAATCTCTTTCCATCAAGGAGCATAAAAAATGAGTTCATAGTAATAATCTTTTCTTTTTAGGCCACTTATTACCAAAATTAAAGGAGTTTACTTTTCATGTCCATCTCACGTACAGAAACTTAACGAAAGCAGTAGCTCGTCGGAAGGCAGCACTGTGGACATTGGCGCACCTGCGGAGGAACAGCCCGCTGTGGAACCCGAAGAAACCCTTGAACCTGAAGCATGTTTCACCGAAGGTAAAGAAAATAGTCCTAATGTTAATCTTTCACTTTCAGAGCACAGCTTTTTTAGCTATTGGTCACCCACAATGGATCGCTTGTAATAAAATAGAACTTTACAGTAAATCTATTTCAATTACCTCCAATATGTAGACAAAGAAAAAGGATTTAAAATCTAGTGTTATTCTTTGATTATCTCTGCCCATTATGTCAAGAATTCGTGATAATGAAGGAAAAGAAATGTTTTGATGTAATCAAAACTTGTGACTAAATTTTATAATTTAAAATTTTTAAAAGAGAGATTTCGCAATAAGTTGACATTTTAAACTAATCGAAATTCTGATACACAGAATTTGCCATAAAAGTAACTTTCTGGTTATTTTTTTTTTATTTCAGGGTATTATGAGGGTACAAACATTATGGTTACGCTTTATATCTTTGCCTCACCCAAGTGAGAGTTAAAGGCAGGGAGGGCGGGGCAAGGGCAACATATGTAACCTAAACATTTGTACCCCCATAATAGGCAGAAATAAAAAATAAATAAATAAATAAATAAAACAAAATTACTAAGGGTATTATACATAAGTGGTAGTCAATATGTGCTGTGAAGTGAACAAATAAATTAAAAAATTACATATGCAAAAAAAAAGTAACTTTCTATTAAAACTGAATGAATTGCAAATGCTAAATCATGTTTTTTCATGAAGACATGATTTTCCAGTACTTATTGGATGAAGCAGGAAATAAGCACTGCCTTGGATACCTGATACCTAAACAGTGCCTAGCTGAGCCTGTGCAATGCGGGCAATAGGTATAAGAGATATGTTTTTCCTGTAAGTGGTATTTCCCATGATCTGATTTCCTTGGGATTTTGAGTTTTGGGGATATGAGTATATTTGCATATTTTCTATTTGGTATTCTTTTCCTCATAGGCCTAATATATCTTCAGTTTTTCTGTATTCTCTGTATAAATTATGCGCATTACTCAAAGTCCTCAAAACTACTTTCATCTGACCATGGTGAAAGAGTTTCTTATTCCTCTGAACAGCTGTAACAAATATACCTATCTAATTCACTTGATAAATAATCAGAAGAGTTTTGAAAACTCTTCTCTATTGAACTGTTGCGTGTGTTTTTACTATCTTCTCTCCTTTTCCTCCATTATTTCATTCCTTAGGACCTTCCTTTCTTCTTTGCTTAGTTTCTTCCTTTCTTCCTCCATTCCTTTCCTTCCTTTATTTCTCTACTTTCTCTTCCAACATACCTGCCTTTCTGTTTTCTTTTTGTCTCAGAACAGGGTACTTGTGCTTATATCTTTTTTATTTTTATTTTTTTGAAAATCCGAATTTCTTATAATGTTCTTGGGGGCAAGGTACATGTTCTGTACGTTTTAAAAAATATCTTCCATGGTGCTTATGAAGGTACTCAGAGATATCTGTTGATTAATTTGGATGTCAGAGTAAGTGAAAGCAGTGTATGAGGAAGTCAATGATAAATCAAAGCAGAACCATACAAATTGTATTTTAGTGGACTAAATTAATTTTGAAAATTACATAATCCCTTCTGGGAGCACCACAAAAAAATCTAAACAGTAACAAACCCAGCATTGTTGGAAGAGATCTACATTATTACTCTATGTCCTCTATAAAAGAGAACATTTCTGTTTATTATTATTTTCCATTTTGAAGTCCTTTTCTAAAGTGACTTCAACAGAGTGCAATAGGAGGATATAGTATAAGGCAAAGCTACTTCACATTTTTTTTTTATAATTTACAAAGTTTTTCTTAGATCATACACTGTGAGGCAGAAAAGATATTATTATCTAGGGAACTATTTAAAGAGGCTAAATAGGCCGGGCATCACGGCTCACACATGTAATCCTAGCACTCTGGGCTGAGGCGGGAGGATCACTTGAGGTCAGGAGTTCGAGACCATCCAGAGCAAGAGGGAGACTCCCGTCTCTACTAAAAATAGAAAAAATTAGCCGGGTGTGGTGGCACATACCTATAGTCCCAGCTACTCGGGAGGTTGAGGCAGGAGGATCACTCGAGTTCAGGAGTTTGAAGTTACCATGAACTAGGCCGACACCATGGTACTCTAGCCCGGGTGACAGAGTGAGACTCTGTCTCGAAAAAATAAAAATAAAAAATAATAAAGAGGCTGAATAATTCCACAACTTCACACAGTTGATGAATGTGCTTTTAGTGCTCCAGGCTTAGAGAGTTATCCTAGCAAAATAGAGATGGCAATAGTAATAAAAAGATGAAACAGGGACATACCAAAGGATATTATGGAAGCAGCAGATGTTATTTTACCTACTTCTACTTGAACATTATACCTGCAGGCTGTGTACAAAGATTCAAATGTTGTCAAATCAGTGTGGAAGAAGGGAGAGGAAAACAATGGTGGAACCTGAGAAGAACGTGCTTCCGAATAGTTGAACATAACTGGTTTGAGACCTTCATTGTTTTCATGATTCTCCTTAGTAGCGGTGCTCTGGTGAGTGAATATTAGGCAAAGGAGCTACCAGTACTAATTTTTAGAATCTTCTAATACTGATGGCTTATTAATACTTTCTGTTTTATAATCTTAGTGTCTAACAAATTTTAATTGCCACACTTTGTATCTTCCAGACTATAGACTTACTGTATAACTTTGTAGTTATAGATTTACTTTTACTATGTATACAAACATTTCTAATAAGCTAATTATTTTTTGCTTATTATTAAGTATTCCAGAAAACTTAGACATTCAACTTATTCATTATAACTAAAGAGCTTGAATATTCAATTACTAATAGCTTAATAAGAAAATAAGCATGGCAACCACAGTATTGTTAATGGAAGTCCTGTGATTGGGAATATGTATCCTCTAAGTTGTGGTGAATTTTGTTTCCGAATGGTATTATTCTTATTATCTCCTTATGGACAGTCAATAAGTGTTTAGGGACTACTTCTCTGTCTCTTTTCAATTGTGTTCACTATTCTTGTGCTACTCAGGAAACAATGAATATTGGGAACAATAAATATTATGCAGCATGCCTAAGTGATTCATTTAAGACTTGGTTTCTCTTCATAGGAAGGTGTTCATTTCATCAGAATCAGTTTACATTTATATGAGAATCATTTTAAAAATACAAATATAATATATAGGTATCATTTTAACAAACACTGATACAAAGGGAATATTTAAGCCATAACATATAGCTAGATGGATCAATCAATTGCTAGATATAGATGATAGAGTTTGCCTAATTGAAACACAATTACTTACAAGTTTCTTTAGCTTCGGTTATAATTCGAACACAGACCTATATTTACCTGCAGATTTCTCTGAAGGAAATAAATTTTCTCTACATGACACTTCAGACAAGAAATATTCTTTCACCATTAAAAGGAATGTATACTTAGAAGTAAAATATCAAGAGAGGTTCATATTTAGAAGAATACATCTTAGGATCTAAATGAAACATAATTTCATTTTATCATCATTGTTATACTATATCTCTGCTGAGAAATACAAACAATTAGCAAAACGAATAAACAACAAAGAAGCAGATAGACCCAAGTATTTAGTAAAATCGAACACTGTAATGATCAATTATGATTTCTGCATTCATTTTTATTTCTTCAACCTCCTTTCTATGGCATAAAAGCCAATATAAGAAAGCAAAAGAAATGAAACAAAAGGAATATGTACCTCCAACTGGGGCAGCCACATCAGGATATAACATCAAGGACTATTTTTTGAACAAGTCAAATCAATTCTTTGGAATTACACTTTTCTTGTCTTCTGGCTATAATACCAATGGAGAGTATAACATTTCCCCTGATTAGATAATGAGAAGGCCTTTGAGAGGAAATAAAACAGTGATACCTACTGTTCCTCTGCTCTCCTAGTCCAATAAAATGCCAAATGCATATATAATCAGAGAAAAAATTTATAGAGCATAATCGTTTTTGAAAGCTAAAATGCATAACTCTTCCTTTATAGGCATTTGAAGATATATATATTGATCAGCGAAAGACAATTAAGACTATGTTGGAATATGCTGACAAGGTTTTCACTTACATTTTCATTCTGGAAATGCTTCTAAAATGGGTAGCATATGGCTATCAAACATATTTCACCAATGCCTGGTGTTGGCTGGACTTCTTAATTGTTGATGTAGGTATCTTTCACGTCTTTGTCATTCAAGGTAGTTTGTCTTATTTACATTCTAATTCTAAAATAGTGAACCTTGGACCACGATGTTATGTTGGCAGGATATGCTACTTAGCCACTAAACTCACTCACTGAATGAGAGTGTAGTTTTTGGAAGACATGGAGTACTGATTTAAAATAGCCTTAGGGGAAGGACTCTATAGTAGTTACCTAACAGAAAAAGCTGAAGGGGAAAAAGAAATCAGCAGCTTATAGGGAAAGTAGGGAAATCAGAAATGTAAAGGTCATGTTATTTAAATCTCTTATATTGTGAATCAGACAAACTAAAGTTTGTATCCCAGCTTCACCACTCACTGGTTTTGTGCCACTGAATAACTTACTTGGCCTCTGACTCTGTAAATGGTGATATTATTTGTACAATGTTAAAGGCACTCAATAAACAGTGATGATGGTGGGGACTACTGTCATTTTAAAATAATTCTCTCTGATCTACTTAAAATGTTTAAAGGGTAGACTTAAAGAGTAGGTTATATAAGTTATAACTCCATTATGGGAAATAACGTATGCAGGGTGCAGGGAAAGACAAGTTACTTTATGCAGTGGTGGCACTTTTCCTAGAATGGAGACTAGATTTAAGGCAAACCCATAATGTACCAAACAGCCTTTTATAGAATTTATATATCCAATGATTAACACTTCATTTACCCTAAAACAAGTCCCTGAGATGTGTTAAAGTTAAACATCATGTTTCATATTATCAATTTAGCGTAACTTAAGCTTCAGAAAACTATGCTCAAAATATCATGACTTCATAGGGAGAAGTTTTATCCCAAAAGAATATTAATCCAGCAAGATTATGAAGGTTTCATGTGGAAAATGTTTCTAGAGCTAAGGATCATGGATACATTACACCTCCTTGATTCTGAACAAAGGCAAATTTGAAAATCTTCATAATGTTACAATGAAATGAGTGAACTGAGAGAAACCTCAAAGAAATAATTGCTTTATCATGTCAAAAAAGGGGAAAGTATCTAATATCGAGGTTTCAAGTGTTAAAAGTTACATCATATTTCAATTCCTTATAATTTTTTACACTAGATTTTAAGTCTAATTTAACCTTCTTGACATTTCCTGGGTTTGCTTTTCTCTATTTTGCTTATTACAGATCTGAGCTTTTTGGTAGAAGAAAGGTGATTTTATTTATTATTATTATTTTTGTGTGTGCAGGTTTCATTGGTCAGTTTAACAGCAAATGCCTTGGGTTACTCAGAACTTGGTGCCATCAAATCTCTCAGGACACTAAGAGCTCTGAGACCTCTGAGAGCCTTATCTCGATTTGAAGGGATGAGGGTAAGGAAAATGAAAGAATCTGAAGTATTGCATATAGCCAGAATTAAATTAAATTAAATTAAATTTAGAAAAAGGAAAACCCATGCATGCAAAAGGAATGGCAAATCCTTGCAAAATTGCTACTTTACCTTATAATCTGTTGCATATTTACTTCTAGGTGATATGCAAGAGAACTAGGCCTTTCTTAAAATGATATAATATCATTTACCTGCTGTGCTCATTAAGATGACTTTATTTCCTAATCCATCTTGGGAGTTTCCTAACAAACCTGTATACAAAAAAGTAGATGCACTATTAAAGTACTATATGTAATGATATAATAATAATAAACTAAAGTGAACTCTATATCATGTACTTCTTTGCAATGACTTATCTGTACTTCATGAGTTTTATTGAAAATATGCATCACACATGTGCCTAAGTATGAGTGTAAAGGAAAAAATGAAGAGTTTTCAAAATTTTTGTCTGTATAATGCCAAAGTTTGCATTATTTGAATATATTTAAGGGTAGATATTCAATATTGACTGAATTTTAAACTTTTTTAAAATTATATTTAATATAGTCTCAATGCCGTATTAATCTTCTTAATTTACATAAATAGTAACACTAACTTAAAGATCACATATAAATCCACACTTTTTATGACAGTAAAGTAAAACATTTGTAACAATGATCAGAAAATATAATTTTGGGCTCATTATCATAAGTGATTCATGAATTAATCTTAAGTTAAATCTCATTTGTCAGAGTCCCACAAAATTTTATATTACTCATTTTAAGGAAACATTAACCATCCCCCAAGATCCTTAACAGATTAGAAATTTTGCCATTTGACTTGTTATTTTCCATACTTTTTTTAAAAACAAGAAGCATTAATTTATGTAAGGTGTATCATATAAAAATTTGTTTTTTTAAAAAAATCAATTTTTTTTAGCAAAACAAGTATTGCTCTTTTGCTGCTTAGAGTTTAGTTATGTTTACAGAAACTAAGCTGTATTGTACACTTCCATTTGCATTTTGTAGGTTGTTTATAATTCTCTTCTAAATTAAAATTTATTATAAATGTCACTTTTTAAGAACATAAGACTTGTCTTTGATTTCCCTATCATATATGAAAACTTTTTCCTCATTAGAAACAATTCAACAAAGGAGACATAAATAGTCCTTTTTAACTTCTCATAGAAATCCTCACATGTTCACCAGAATGTTATCAGAAATTCTTTCCAGGTTATGTAAAAATTAAATTTGTTTTCTAATTAACTTGTCACTTTTTTTTTTTTCAGACTGGCAGTTTCAGCTCTGAAGAAAAATATCATTTTCATACATTCTACTTGAAAACATGTTACCTGAATCAAAATAATACAATTAAAATGCTTCTGAAATCTGAACAATGCCAAGTATTTGAAGCTGTTATAAATATTTCCAATTTGACTTTTTGGAAGTTTATTAAATCCATGAGTCAAATGGTCAGATATTCCCATATGTAACACTTTATTTTCCTAACAAGTTGATCTTATAGATCTGCTTTTAATTTTTACAGAAATAACCTTATCTATAATTATTAATTAATGATGTTTTTATGTTAAAAGAAGAGGTTAGTTGAAATTTGGAGTTTTAAAAACATAAACTCCGTATAGATACTGATTGATTATGAAACTAATCATTTAAGTTGTCAGATTTATGAATATGACTTCATTCCTCATAACAAAAGCGTATACACAGCTTCAAAATGTCTAAGCTCTTTGACACGTTTGGCATTGTAGAGTCAAAATAACCTTTTTATTGATTCTATTTTTTGTATTTCTAGTTTTGAAATTTTTTACTTCATAAAAATATAGTCAAGAATGATGATAAGGTTGGAGATAATGATGACGATGATGATTGGGAAGTGAGATTTGAACATATTCAGAAACTCTCATTTAATTCTTTTCCCTAGTAGCATAAAATCGCAATAGCTGTGTCAAAGCATAACTCAGGCACTCATTTTATTTTTGTTGTTCTGTCACTTTTTCAAAGCATGTGCTTTTATGCAACATTACTGACTAAAGCATGTTGTACAGTGCTTGAGAAGAAGTTAGAAAATAACAAAAAACTATCATCACGTTGCACTTTGTGTTTTGCATGTTTTATGCACATTTCTGGCTGACAGCTTTTAAATACTTATTGTATTTCAAATTTCCAGTCCAAATTTTTCAACTTGTAAAACTGAACTGAGTGAACTAATGTCATGAGTATCTAGGGTAAAATAAAATTTTTATTTAAATTTGTATTTTTAATTTCCTAATCTAGGAAATCTTAAATACCTTCTTTTTCAAAAGAACTCAAGTCTTAATTGATAGGGAAACAGAGAGCATCATATTCAAAAAGTAACACCAAATGTTCTGTCATATCAGATTTCTAACTAATAACAAACTATATATTTCTATTTTATATAGGATAATCTTGCTCCAACTTGGATGGGGTGGAGCGCTGGTTCCTCCCCTCAGCCCTTTATTATGGGTACTGTATTACCCCTTTTGCTACCTTTAATCCTTGCGCTGTGACTTATGTGTAGTGGGATGAGGGAGGGATTGGGAAGGGTACTACTGCACCACGGTAGGGACAACACAGTATATACATCCTGATCCCCTATTTATCATTGTCTTAAATTTCTTTTGAAAAAAATACCTTTGTGAATTTACCCTCTATGGATTTTAACTCCAATGTTTGATATCTTTATTAAGTTTCATTGAATATGATTTAGTTATGTGTATGCTGAATTATCCATTTATGGGAAGATTATTCAATTGGTATGGGTGGGGGACCCTGGTGTAGGATGATTGTGTGAAAAAAATTTTTAATTTGTCAAGCTGATGATGCTGTTTGAGGCATACAACCCCTGCCCTATAGTACATTTGTCCGGGTCCTGAAAATGGCCAGCTAGACACCAGCAGTCAGGTGTTGACATGTGTAAGCAGATGCTAGGTGCAGTATTCCAGGTTTCATAAGACTGGTATTGATGGTGTGACCATTCTCATTTTTTATTCAGTGTAAGTTCGTAGGGGTTATTTTTAATATGTAACAAGGCAAAAATACATTAAGAAAGAATTGAATAAGCACGTGTGATTTGTGTTTTAAATGGAAAAAGTTAATATAAAAGAATCCATTTATTTGAATTATGCAGAATAGAACACTCACGTAGACATAAAACAAAAACATCTCATCGTGAATATTAAGAGAGAATTTAATGTGTAAACTCACTTCTCAGAATGAGTCACTCCCAACTAAATTCCTAGATTCTTAGAAGATATTACAGTGAAAACATACATAAAAATGGATCTACATTTTATTTATTCTTGAGGGTTAAGCATATGGTACAAGAATGAGAGTTTTAATTTTTTTAATTTAATTTTTTTTTTTTTTTTTTTGAGACTGACTCGCTCTGTTGCCCAGGCTAGAGTGCAGTGGCGCAATCATAGCTCACTGCACCTTCAAACTCCTGGGCTCAAGCAACCCTCCTGCCTCAGCCTTTTGAGTAGCTGGGACTATAGGCATAAGCCACCATGCCCAGCCAATAGACTTTACTTCTGAGGGAGACAAAAAGTTAGGACTTTTGTCTGGATAATTGACATCATAGCTTCCAAAACCAATTGCCTTAATTAAAACCTGCAACACAAAATAATTGTTAGATTTTTTAAAAAAGATTCTATTACTGTTCTTCATACTCAAAAATGTATGATTTCTACTTTGTCAACTTTTGATTTTTATTCCTATAGTTTTTCTCTAATTAGAGAAGCATTAGAATGCACAGGTAATATTCATTTGAAGTTCAAAGACAATTCATTCAGACAAGAGTATGTATCAAAATTTCTAACACTAATTTGCATATTTAATTATCAATCCCTCATTTAGTGTTCATTTAATAAAAAAATGCAGATAATGAACCAGAAATAGAAAGAGTTTCTATAAGAATTAGTTGAGTTAGAATAGAGAAATTTTATTTGATGATGTTTTGAAAAAGGTTTATGAGAAGAAACAACCCTAGTACAATATTAATTCAATAAGATAGTTACTTTCTTAGACATCTCCTTTCATGCAGCTTGAAACCTCATTCTGTTCTTTCCAATTTATTCAGACCAATTGTTCCTTCCCGACACAGGAACCAATTACTGCAGTTCCCTCATGGGAATCAATTACTGCAGTTCCTTAGAGACTGAAACTGAAAAAAGTTAATACATCTCCCTCTCTGCTGAACCAGGGAATGGCTTGGGGCTCTTGGGAAAAGACAATCTTTTCTATGATCCTTCATTGTCTAATTTAATGAAACCTTAAATATGAATGCACCTTTGTATAGTGAATTCCCCCATACTATGCCAAATGTTTTCTAAGTTCTTTTTTCTTAGTAAAATAAAACATTTCTCTGGGCCAAAGGTATGCCAACTTTGCAAATCACATCCTGAACTACACTGCTCCAGAGCACATGCTTACTTTGGGAATTCCACTGTTAGAGTTAATTTTAACTCAAAACCAATCCCCAGTTTTAAAGTAAACCTCTTAAACTTACAACCTAACCATAGACTTTTTCTTGCACTCATTTCCTTAGTTATTTTCATCCCATATCTAGAAATAACATTTAAAAATCATACTTTGATCAATAAATACTTAGCTAACCTTTACTTCATTTTTTCATTCTTTCATTCAACCATTTTTGTATTCCTATATTCAAGTCACCCAAGACCTTGGAGGATTCACAAATATATTTTCCATCTTAAATTTTTAAAAAATCTTATAATCTATCAGGATTATAGGAATACAATTAACTTTAATACAGAGCAATACAGGTACCAGATAAGTGGGAGCAACTCTAAGGAGAACTAATGAGATAGATTGGATGCTACTCCTTGTCTATTTTCTGAACTTCACCTGTTTTAATCTCATGTTTCTCATTTGCCAAATGAGAATACTACACTAAATTATCTCTAAAGTTTTGTCCAGCACTAGAATTCTGATTCTTGAATTCAAAGGAGAAAATACTTGTCTTTATTTAGGAGGCTAAACTTGAGGGTGATGTTGGGCTCTCCAAAAGAAGTGCTATTGGAGCTAAAGCCCTTGAGAAGGGAGACTATCTCAGAAGAGGAAATACTAGAGAAGGAATTTCAAAGGAAATGGCAGCTCAACTATTTGGCAATTATACTACCAAGTGGCCATTCTATTAGTTGGTGTGGCCTGAAGTGTAGGCAGCCAAGGAAGTTAAAACTAGAAATGTAGATTGATGACTGATGTGAATATTAAGGTAAAAAAAAAAAAATGTACTTGGTAGTCACTGGGGGGCGGGGAGGTGGCAATAAATAACTTTAAAGTGAGACTTGGGGAAGATTAATTCATCTCACATGGATTAAAGGAAGGAGAAAGTTAGGAGACCCTGACAAGAATGCAGGTGTGAAGTAACAGAGGGCTGAACTAGGACGGTGACTGTGACAATGGAAAAGAAATGGCAAAGGTGAGAAACGTTTTGAAGAAAAAAGTGTGAGATCTACAGATCAATGTGAAAAGAAATTCAAGAAATAGATACAGGTAATCAGTGTTCCGTCCATACTCTAAATTGGGTGTTGAAAGTAAAGTACACATTTTTATATGTACTCTTTGTGTGCACAGTAGAAATAGCACTTTAATCTGGATGGTAGACAAAATATTTGGAAAAGGAGGGAAATGAATAGTAAGTTGATTTCAGCATTCAGATCTCTAATCTGAAAGAAATCTAATTGTATCTGTGCATTTAAAATAAAGTATAAAATAAGGATTTATTAAGTCAATTGCATTAATGCAGACAGTCACATGAGGTGGGTAAGGTGCCACGTGTCAGCTTGGTAAGCTGCATGGGCCACATCACTGGGTTCTGCCTGGATAACTCAACCTGAATTCATTTTTTCATCTCTATTTCTCCGCCTTTGTCATTACTGGTATTATTATTTCCTTTGGCTCGTTTATCACACTATTTTACAAAAGATCTAGAGTTCTTTACAGACTTTAAACAGGGCTCAGAAATATAAGAAATTGGTTCATGTATTCTTTTTTTTCAGACAGGCAATCTAAATACTGTTTTCTAAAAATACTCTATCAAAAGGCAGATTGAAGATATTTTGATGCCTGTTGTTTACCTTGGATCAGATTGATAAGACTAATAGAGGTACATAAGTAGAATTAAACTTAGCTATTAATGTTCAAGTTTGAGGCATCTGCCATTTATGAGCATTTTAGAGCCTGTCTTCACCTTCCCTCTTAGCTACTCATGTGCAGCTCCAATGGGATCTATGGAGGGGGAAACAAGGACAGCCATCCCTACAGTGTTGCCATGAATGAAAATTCAGCTTTTTAATTTGTGGTCCAGATTAAAGATAAGAGGGGGGAAAAACATGCTTCCATAGAAAAAATGTAGATAATAATCGTGCATAGAACTTCATGTGATCACATCAGATTCGAGGACTATGTATGGCGTCCCTCCTTTTCTTATTTTCCTAAGAAACTGATTCCTATCATGTTTCATTTAAAGTAAGTTTATTGAATTAAACTCAGTAAATGAAACAACTGACATGACTGGAGCTTGAAATAAATGATGTGATGATCTAATGAAATACATAATGCAAATTGTCTTGCTTCTTATGCAAAAATTATTAGTCATAGCAATGCATGAATAATTAAGGAGAAAATTATATTAGGTATTTAATAGTATTTTTATATTTATACATCTGAATTTTTGTTTATTTTAAAACTATATTGGTCAAGTAAGCTCAGGTCCAATGTTTTAATTTTGTTCTTTAATATACTGCCTTTTTTAAATAAGTTAATCTTCTGTGTAGGATTTCCTACTTTTCTTCCCATAAACAACATGTGTTCTGACTTCATCTGGCAGCAAGTTTCCCTGATATTTGCTTTTCATTTAACCCTGTAGTACTTCTCCCTCCATTTTTTAGAACTTTTTTTCATTTCTTTGTTATATTGCCCATATTTGTTTTCCTGTGTATTAAGAAAAAAATAAATTTTATTTTAAGATTTGTTTACTTTCTTTTAAATATTCTAGAATAAACAGTCTTGATATAAAAAAAATAGAGAGACCAAAGATTACTAGGGGAATGTCTTTTCTTTTTTAACAGATAAGAATTCTGACACTTCTTTTTTTCCATTTGTATATTAGGTGGTTGTGAATGCCCTTTTAGGAGCAATTCCATCCATTATGAATGTGCTTCTGGTTTGTCTTATATTCTGGCTAATTTTCAGCATCATGGGCGTAAATTTGTTTGCTGGCAAATTCTACCACTGTATTAACACCACAACTGGTGACAGGTTTGACATCAACGAAGTGAATAATCATACTGATTGCCTAAAACTAATAGAAAGAAATGAGACTGCCCGGTGGAAAAATGTGAAAGTAAACTTTGATAATGTAGGATTTGGGTATCTCTCTTTGCTTCAAGTTGTAAGTGAACACTATTTTCTCTGAATTTTTTTATTTGTTTGGATAATAACAAAGTAATGACATCATCTATTATTTAATTACTAAGAAGAAAGTTTATAACATATTTCTTTTTTTTTTAAATTTTGATTTATTAGTACACGTGTATGAGCCCAGATAGGTAGAAACTTTATTACAGACATAGTCAATAGTGGGCAGATATTCTAGGTCTTTCCAAAGGTCTTTTTCTCTGTTTTCCTAATTTTCTTTTTTTATATATATTGCTCTTTCTGTATGAACAAGTTGATCAATAAATCAATAGCTTTGCTATTTTTTCTATTGAAATTGGAAAGCTTGTTTCACTGCTAGATCACCCTCCAAAACACACACACTTAACACACCTATCAAATAATTGGAATGTAACTAATTAGTAAAGATTAACTGCTGCTGAGTTATATCATTTGTTTGAAGTTTGGGGAATGATATTTCGGTTTTAGGATTCAATCCTCATAGTGAAACAGAAATAACAGCTGGACACCCCTGGACACAAAAACAAAACACAAACAGGTGTTGTCTTACAATAAATGACCCTTCAGCACCATTATTTAAGTCTATTTTATCTTAAATATTAATTTTTTTCACTACTGAGTCTCTAACAAAAACATTCATAATTGTTTTAAATACAAAATATGGTAGCTCTAAACATTTTCATTTGATTTTGTTTTTAGCTGCAGCAGTATCATAAAAAAGCCATGAAGAGTCAGATTATTTGAAAAACAGTAAAAAATTCTGCTCTGTTTTGGCCACCAAAAACTTAGCTTTAAAAAAAAAATCAATATAATTTCTTCCCTTGTGATTCTACAGAATCTTTAGGGTAGAAATCTATTTCTGTTCACTAGGGTTATATTTTTAGTTGTTTAGCCAGGAAACTAAGCAAACAAACCCACACTGGTCAAAACACTCTTGGAGCTCTTTCAAAGGTATCTATACTATGATTACTTTACAAATTCTTCCAACCTTTTTATTGGAAATTTTAATTTCTCTTCTGAACATTTCTGACCTACTCTGAATGTCTATGCAATTAAAAAAGGGATTTAAATAATCTGGCAAGAATGATTTCTTTAAATATTATAGTAAACACATTATGATATTTCCTTGGGCATTTATTCTAATTCTTCACTAGTAACCACACTTGTAAGTATCACTCAAGTATATCACTTCATCCATAAAATAAAGGAAAGGATCATTTAAAATATTAAACAATCGGCCGGGCGTGGTGGCTCACGCCTGTAATCCTAGCTCTCTGGGAGGCCGAGGCGGGCGGATTGTTTGAGCTCAGGAGTTCCAGACCAGCCTGAGCAAGAGCGAGACCCCGTCTCTACCAAAAATAAAAAGAAATTAATCGGCCAACTAAAAATATATAGAAAAAATTAGCCGGGCATGGTGGCGCATGCCTGTAGTCCCAGCTACTCGGGAGGCTGGGGCAGTAGGATCACTTGAGCCCAGGAGTTTGAGGTTGCTGTAAGCTAGGCTGACGCCACAGCACTCACTCTAGCCAGGGCAACAGAGTGAGACTCTGTCTGAAAAAAAAAATTAAATAATCCTTTAAAATGCTAAGCGATTCTGAAATTATAGAGTGAAGGTCCTGCACCAAGCCCTTAAATAAATTCTGCTACGAAAAATAAAAAAAAAAAGCCTTTAAAATACTGCATCACATTTGGCTTTTTACAGAACCACCTCTGTGATGATTAGTGGTTTATTGAAATGATTCCTTTAATCAATTTTTTCTGTTTCTGTACTAAGTGTATGATGGACTTATCCTATCACTGACCTAAGCCATTGACACATTCAACATTTTTCTCCTTGATGTACAAAAACCTTCTGTTTTCTAACTAAGAATCATTACTTTCTTTTCACTGCCATCACATACACCCTCACCTGACCTTCTCATGGAATCCACCGCTTCACAAGTGTTAGTGTTACAGAAATGAAGATATGCTATGATATAGATGCCAAAAGCCTTGCTAGCCTCCCTGGATAGTTAGGGACTAATCCTCTCAGGACAACAGGGCTCAAAACTCATGCCCTAGGACAAATAGCAAACCACTATAAATTATCAGACTTGGTATCCCTTCAGCTTGAGAATGTCAAGTGTCTACTGTACTGTATTTTCACTTTTCTGACCCATATTAACCCATTCTCTTCAATAATTACAAAGACGAAAGTATAGTGTAGTGTTTTGCTTCGAAATTCTTAAAAGAATAGTTGCAATTCTGCCTTTATGTATACCTGTATGATCCTTAGATTGTGCAATAAAGAGAAATCTTAAATTTTCAGTCACTCGAATTACTTTCTAGATAGATTTCAGCAGATGATCCTCAGATCTAAGTTGCAATTATTCGGCTGCTAGAGATATTGCCAAATATGTTGGAATTTGTAAGACTTTCTAAAAGTGTTCTACCAAAGTTTAATAGCACTTTAAATTGCATTATTCCAGTAACTTTAAAGAATTGAAAAGTACTATGAGTTTGTTATTAAGCAGGAGGATATATCAAATGACTATTTTGTTCAGTATGTATTCTAAAAATGAAAAGTTTTACTAAGATATTGTCTTGGTCCAAAATCCACGTAAAATTTGTTTTGAAATGTCTGTCAAAATATTCCTTTTTATAAAATATATCAGTAAGGAAATTTATTAAACATCGAGTTGGAATTATTTTTACTCTGAAGTAAAATATGCATGTCCTTCTTAATAGGCCACATTTAAGGGATGGATGGATATAATGTACGCAGCAGTTGATTCCAGAAATGTAAGTATTCCTCATATTCTAAATGTTTTTATGATATTGATTAGGTGGTTAAATTAACTCAACAAAGTGTCGGCAGCCAAATGAAATGTTGATTATGTTGATTAAAAGTATTTAGAAAAAAGTATGACAGGTTAATGTTCAAGTATAGCACTGTTTATCAGAAAGATCTCACTAAGATAAATCAAAACATAAATTATTTTGAAAATCAGACAAAAATAACACAAATTCATCTGTTTAGTAACTAGCAAATGTCACTCTTAAATATTTTTTAAATATTTTTTAATATTTCCTTTTTATCTATAAATTATATAATAAGTAGTGATGTTGGTGTGCAGGAGCACATGTGAAGAAATATATAATTTCCATCAGTAGTTGAAATGTATAGTTACCCTCCATACTAGCAGGAAAAGTTATGGATATTGTCCTGGCAGCCTTAGATTTCTGCGATCATCTCTATCAAATAATCATATTTCAAATCATGTAAAAGCATGGTTTTATATGATTTTAGCATCCATAAATTTGCTGGAGCCTTTAGCAATGCTGTTATCCCTTCTGTGGCCAACAGATGTAAGTTTATAACACTAAAGTAAAGACCTACTTTATTTTACTTCAGCCTCTTTCATGCTTCATGCTACAAGCTAAAATTCATGCTCATTCCAACTCTGCTCTTCAAAACTTAGTAAAATTTAGTATTTTTCCACCAGCCTACATCTTTCCATTCTGAAGCCCAATCTGTTTAGTCTATCATCATAAAGAATAACCCCCATCCCTGTAATCTTTAAACTGACCTAATAGAGTTTGACCTTATCTTTCTTGAAGTACATTTCTCATAGCTTTAGTTTTATGTTGAGTATCTTCCTGATAACTTCCATAGTTATTTTATTTCACTTTGTTACTTATATTTTGTTTCGTGTATTTGGTTGGTTTTTAACGTTGTTGTCCTGAGAAGGACATGAATCTGTAAGGAAGCTATCTATGGTGTCTCTCTTGCCCCTTTATTAAGTTATGTGATAACTCAATGCCTGTTTGTTATAAGCACAATCTAAGGATTAAGTTATCAGTTAAGGATTTATAAAATAGACTGTGCAATTGTCTACTCAATCTGAAAAATTCAATGACTGTTATAATATTAGAGTATGATGCCAAACATCTAAATGAAAAACTTAATTCTTATTTGCTACATTAATTCATGCTTACATGAATGATTGCTTTTAAGCATATTCAATACATATTTATAAAGTAAAATTTTTTTACTAATTTTTAAATTACTAAAATTGAATACCTTAAAAACTTGCTAAATTTAGCACATTACTGTCCAAACAGAAAAATATTAGTTGTGTTTATAGTTATAAAAAATAGATTCTAGAGTGTCATAATAATGTTTTTCATGTGAAAAACAACATAATTTCAGAGAGCTTTTTGGAGATACTTGATGCAGAAAAAACCTGAAGTATTACTATGAATAATATTTTCTATTCTCATGAAAAAGTACTATGATATTTCCAGCATTAACATGTATTATAATATTTTACAAAATATTCTCCTTTGGTAGGTGGAACTTCAGCCTAAGTATGAGGAAAGTCTGTATATGTATCTTTACTTTGTTATTTTCATCATCTTTGGGTCCTTCTTCACCTTGAACCTGTTTATTGGTGTCATCATAGATAATTTCAACCAGCAAAAAAAGAAGATAAGTATTACTAATATTTTCTCTCTCTCTGAGATAGAAAAATTATTCTTCAAAATGTTTTCTCCACCAAATGAACACTTGAATTCAGAAACCAAAGGAAAGTATAATTAAAACCTATTTTTCTTCCTCTCCCTCTACCATCCACTACTCATTTGGGGCTGTAGAAAGCTAAGAATAACAGTTCCACTCCTTTGTACATAGGCTCACAAAACTTTTCTCCTTTTTTTTTTTTTTTTTTGGTTTTAATTATTAAGAAGCCACTTGTTCTGTCATTTAAAAGAAGACAATGAGAAAAGAACTAGAAAACAACCCAGGCATATACACTTTTCCGGAAGGCAACTTGTTTTATCCCTGCAACCCCCCGGTGTGAATGCACCCATGCCACTGCCCCTCACTGGCATCAAACATTCTCTTGGTTTTTTAATACTTGGCATTTGTTACATAAACACTATATTTGATTTTAATTTTTATGGCTTTTATGATTCATAGATTTGAACATGTTGTTAAGTATTTTTTAGCCATTTATATCTCTTCCTTTATGTATTCTTGTTTAATCTCATGTGCTCATTGTGTTTGCTTATTGCATAACGAGTGCTTTCTTTCACTATAGAACATTCCTTCCCCATGCCCTTTTTTCTTATTACTAATAGCATTCTGTAGTCCATATCAGGCTACTTCATGTCACTTTCTAGCCTGCATTCCAATCCTCTGTCCCAACTGGCATGTCCCATACTTGCCGTGCTATGAGCTCTGATTTATCCCCTGACTCTCCTACCAACTAGTCCAGTTTTCTTCCCACGCCTTTGTTCCAATTCTTGACTGAGTCGAAGTGACTTTTTATGAGTAAATTCAAACATACTCAAGTCT